TGACACAATTTTGTCAGATATTAGAAAAAAAAAGGAAATATTGTAAAAGTGCTAAACAGGCAATCAAAATGAGTAAAAAAATGGGTAAAGATATTGCAATCTTAATATATTTTTAAAAGTGTTAAAAATTATCAATAAATGCTGCTACACACTCAACTGCATTTGCCCCAGAAGGTAATTAGCACACATAGATACAAAGTGGAGAATGAAATATAAGTGGAGCACAAAAAAATATGCCAATGGGTTTAAAACCACTGTGTATATAATGGTTGTGCAGAAACGAATAAAATTGTGTGCTTAAAGGAACACTATAGCGTTAGGAATACAAGTATGTATTCCTAACGCTATAGAGCCCTAGTCACCATTTAGGCCCTGTTCCGCGGTGAATAAACCATCTATTTGCTTACCTTAATCCAGCGCCGGGCTCCCTCAGCACTGGTGACTTCTCCTCCTTCATCGACGTCAGATTCAGCTTCCTATTGGAGCCGAATTCCCATGTGCACCCAGAGGCGCGCACGCATTCAAACCCGCCCATAGGAAAGCATTATGCTTTCCTATGGGGATCTTTTTTGACACTGGACTCCGTGAGGACGTCCAGCGTCAAATAAGTGTGTTTCACTCTGTGTAAATCGCGGAAGCGGCATTTAGTGGCTGTCAGTGAGACAGCCACTAGAGGCTGGATTAACCCTCAGTGTAAACATAGCAGTTTCTCTGAAACCGCTATGTTTTCAGCTGCAGGGTTAAAACTAGGGGGACCTGGCACCCAGACCACTTGATTAAACTGAAGTGATCTGGATGCCTATAGTGGTCCTTTAAAAGTGTCGATGGTTGCTCCAATAGGATTCTGTATAAGGTCAAATAGTAAGTAAACATGTACAGAGAAAAAAATGCAAATACTAGTATAGTCTGTATAATACATTTGTGATATGTAAGAAGCAACTAGTCTAATAACTAGTACAAAAGTTTATTTATGCATATATTTAGAAACCAATAGATATGAATCTGCTTACAAAATGCAAGTAGGTGAGTGGGCTTATGTACCTAAATAAATATCACCAAATGGAGCAGGATTCCTTCGATAGACACTCCAGCCCAGAAGGGTTATGTTATCGTGTGTTGTTATATTTCTCTCTACCACTCGATTAGCAGTCAGCAGTTTCAATTTAACTTACCACGGGATTCAAGGTCCACCCACAGCGTGATGTTAGTGGATCGTGCATCTACGCATTTCTCCTTCTGTCCGGCTTCGTCAGGTAAGGTATTTAAGGGCAATGCTTGATCCATCACCTTCAGTGTCTATTGTTTTTTTTTTAAGTCTTATATTTGCATATGGAAAAACCCCATTCAACTAAGTCAGACCATTAATATTGTATCATCGCAAATACATATTAATTTCATACAGACTAAACTAATTTTAAAACGTAAATTACGTACAGATTATATATATCATGCAAATAAAATGTAGTGCATTATAAATCATTACATAGTTAATTTAGATTTAAACCATGACCATATTAAACTCTTATTACCAGCATGTAGCAAAGTTTAAAAAAAAATCAAGCATAAATATGTGATATGTGAGAAATGTATGGTTTATAAAAAAATATATTTTCTAAGAAGAAAGAAAAAAGTAATTAATATTATCAATACTGCATCCAATGTGCAAGTGCCTAAACATGCAAAAGGTGTTTTATCTGTTATTTTAATTAAAAGTATTCAAATAAATTAGTATAATCTTGGATAAGAGATTAGTTGGAACAAGTGAAGAAGAAAACATATAGTACATAAAAATAAATATAAAAATACCAAAAATATAAATGAAAATTATAATATATATAATACATATATATACCCCCATTGTTAAAAAAATAAAATTATGAATATGGGACATATATGTTAAAATTTTATGTCATATCAACTATATAAAAATATAATTATACAGATAAAAATATAGAAAAATAATACTTCATATAAAAATCCCATATAGCTGTTCAATTTAAAAAATGACAAAGCTCAACATCTTTGTTGAGTCCATGTGGAATAAGGGTATTAAATTAAAAAAATCTGTTTAATCTCCGCTTTGTCAGATATTAGCCAGATATTTACTTATATGTTATCTATTAGATTTATATAAGAATAATAATTTAAGTTTGGTATGTGGTTGCTGCCTATTGGAACTAGTGCTGTATCAAAATTCTTTTCCTTTTTTTTTTTATTTTAACTATACTTGCCTTATATGAAATGTAAGGATCAGTATAATACATTTCACTTAGTTGGAATGAAAGCTTTTAAAAATGTTAAGTCGATATTTTTACAACAATTTTTTTAGTTACCAACACACTGAATTAAAGCCTACAGTGTCCTTTTAATTCCAGGAAACCTTAAAGGGTCACCAACATTTTTTAGCATAATGAAGCAGTTTTGATGTGTAGATCATGCCCCTGTGGCCTCACTGCTCAATTTCCTGCCATTTAGTAGTTAATTCACTTTGTTTATGCATCCCTAGTTACACCTTCCTGCATGTGACTTACTTAACCTTACTAAACACATCCTGTAAAGACTCATCTAATGTTTACACTTCCTTTATTGCAAATTCTGTTTAATTTAGAATTTCTTATCTCCTGCTCTGTTAATAGCTTGCTAGACCCTGCAGGAGCATCCTGTATGTAATTAAAGTTCAATTTGCATGTGGGCTAGTAAAGAATATAGCTAACTTGTCTGTAGTATGCCTCACCCCCATTGTGGCTTGCGTGTATGGACCATTTTTACTCTAATCTCATCTCTGAAGGACCAATATTCCTTCAAAATTGCAGGTGCTGCATCATTTTTAACGGGACACCCAACCAGAACTGTAGATTGTATCTTTTTATTTGTGCTGTATGAGCTGATGTAGCCGCTGATCTATAACATTAAAATAGTCTGCTTGATTGACTTTGGCAAAGAACTTTTGTTCCTGCAGCAGCACACAAACTGTAAGATGCTCACTTCCAGGTACCTCATTTTCTGTTGTAGCTCTGCTTAGAGTGTCACTGATGTACAGTTCACGCCCTGGCTTGGAGATAACATTGAGATTCTGCAAATGCTTGGCAGCACAAAAAGAGGCTTATTGAATGAATATGGCCATTAGCAGTTTGTGATCAGTTTCAGCTCCGATTGCATCCTGGCCATAGAGATAATGATGGAGATGCTGGCAGGCAAAAACAAGGCTTAAACATTCCTTCTCAATTTGAGCAAGATTTTGCATGGCTGATAAAATTGCCCTGTATGCAAATGCAACATGCTGACCTTCTTGCAATAGACAACATTCTAGGCCATTCTTGCCTAGTCACTTTGTATTGCAACAGGCTTTCTGACATCATACTATTTAAACACTGGGGCAGCTGTGACCAATTGTTTTTTTTTCTCCACTGTCAGTGCATGCTTGGGATGTAAATGCCAAACTGCATCTTTGTCCAAATATCTTCTTAATTGCTTACATACCTTTAGACAAGTGTGACATGAAGTTTGCTAGGTATATGACAAAGTCAACAAAATGCTGTACTGCTTTGGTGTCACCAGGCTGTGGCATGTCCCCAATGGCTCTAATCTTCCAGGGTTAGCTTTTAAGCCTTGTGAAGACAGGATATGTCAATGGAAGTAACTTCTTGTACCTTGAATTGCAATTTCCTTATGCTGATTCTCAGCACCACCTGCCTGCAATGATCAAATAGCCCTTTTAGATTCTCATCATGGACACGGTCAGCTTATTCATCTGTTTTACCACAACCAACTATAGGAATGTCATCGGCTATTGGCTTAATTCCATGGAACTCATGATACACCTCTGTTGCTACAGAGATTCCAAATGGCTGTATGAGACATCTCTTTCTGCCCCACAGGAGGTCAGAGTATGGTCATTTAACTACTCTTTTCATCCAGTTTGCATTTTAGAAAAGCATCAAAAAGTATAAAAACGTGTGCTTTGGGTAGTTTCTGTAAATCATTTTCAAGTGTTGGCATTATGTAATGTGACATTCTCAGGGCCATGTTCAGACACTTTGGATTAATGCAGTTGCACATTATAATCTTCTTAGGCTTCCTAATAATAACCATGTTTCTTATCCAATCAGTTGGCTCTGATACTGAAGTACGATATCTTTCAGTTTCATACTTATCCAGTTGTGCTTTGACTTGTGGCTTAATGGCTACTGGCACATTGCATGAGGAAAATTGTACTGGTGGGATAGTAGGATCAAACTCAAAATGAACCTCTCCTGGAGCAGATACTACTGGGCTATGAAACACATCACTACAGACATTGACAATTTGCTGTTTTGTCAGTGGATTATTCAGGGTCTTTGCAAGCTGATTATCAACATTGTGGAGCTCAGCAGGGATGGTGAACAGCATCGGTCCGAGGCGCTCACATATTGAACCAGACAACAGCAGTTTCTGATTGGCTTTGACAATCTCAAATTCAAGTTTGTTTGTACATTCATGTATGCTGCAATCTGTTTGGAAAAGTCCCAATTATATCATTAGTTCCTCTGAACATGACTTCACTCTGGTGCTACTATTTATACGGTGATTTATATACTTTGTTGTAGATTAGGGTATGTGTGTTTGGGCTATAGTAGTTGTCAGCAACTTCTGCAGTACGACAAATCTCAATTGCTGCATGTAGGTTTAAATCATGTTCCCTCAATCAACATGTACTTTCAGTATTGATGCACAGAATTATTTTGTCACAAATAAGTCCATCTCTCAGAGAGCTTGTTTTCAGTGGGATTGCTGTGCATATATAATGTTGGACAGTGCACATCAGGTGAACATCAGGTGAACAGTTTGAGGATGGGTGATAGAAAGATTATTTTGACACGGGTGAGTAGCTTTACACGCTGTCAACTGACAGACACATTCACTGACAGACACCCACCCACCGACTGTTAGGGACCAGGAACCAAACGGAGACAGAACTAGATGCAAAACACCTTTATTATAAATAGCAAATAAAGTAATAACCAAAACCAAAGTCCAGGAGGCAAGCAAGGATCAGGCACCATTGCGGGTAGTCAGATGAGCCAGGGTCAGGAGAACGGAGAGCAGCAGAGTCAGGAACAAGGCCAGAAGTCAGGAATCAGGAACACACAGGAAACAGGGAGTATTCTGGGAAACAGGAAATCACACAAGGAGGTACTGGACTTGCTGCTTAAATAGGCTGCACTGATTAGCAGCAGGGTTGGTTACTACAATCAGGTGAGTAATCGTGGCAACATTAACGAAGGAGCTGAAATCAACTGAAAGCTCAGGCACAGAGAAAGGAAGGGTTGCTGTTTAAAGGACCACTATAGTGCCAGGAAAACATACTCGTTTTCCTGGCACTATAGTGCCCTGAGGGTGCCCCCACCCTCAGGGACCCCCTCCCACCCGGCTCTGGAAGGGGGAAAGGGTTAAAAACTTACCTTTTTCCAGCGCTGGGCGGGGAGCTCTCCTCCTCCGGACCTCCCCGCCTGAATGGCGCATCGCCAAGGCAAGAGCTGCGCTACAGATTCTTCCCGTAGGAAAGCATTTACAATGCTTTCCTATGGATGCGTTGCCTCACTGTGAAAATCACAGTGAGAAGCATCTAGCGTTTCTAGTGGCTGTCAATGAGACAGCCACTAGAGGAATGGGGGAAGGCTTAACCCATTCATAAACATAGCAGTTTCTCGGAAACTGCTATGTTTATAAAAAAATGGGTTAACCCTAGAAGGACCTGGCACCCAGACCACTTCATTAAGCTGAAGTGGTCTGGGTGCCTAGAATGGTCCTTTAACAGCAAAGAAACCCTGACAGTACCTCCCCCTCAACAACCCCCACCCAAACCTGCTGGTGGATCCAGGCTTCATTGGAAAGCAAAAAAGACGAAAAATGGGGCAGACAGTCCACTCACAAAAAAGTGGGTGGAATGCCTAGCCTCATTCAAAGTACCTCATAATGTAAATAGTCACATAGAAGAGGATAAACAACCTTTATTAGAAAAAAATGCTAAAATGGTATATAGTCCAAATACTATTACCGTACACTAAAATAGTGTATTGATTATAAGTTAACAACCAAATTTGTAAAAGCCTGGGAGAGGCTAATCCTGCAAGGTATGTTTGACTTAATAAAGGTGTAAAAATACACCTAAAATAATAAATGGGTAACAAAGCAGGTTAGTCTAAATCCATTCTAGGAAAGGACCCAGCTGGGTAATTGGATAGAAAAAGGATAGTCTTAGAGCAGTGTCTGAGAGAATCTGGAAAGGGCAGGGTTAATAGCAACTAATGGGGCGCGCCCAAACTAATACCAAGTAGCTTATACTAAAGAGAAAAGGAGCTAATACCCCATAAAGAGAGGAAAGATAGAACCCCCCCCCCCTTTGAGTCACCCTAAAAAAACTAACTATCCCAAGAGCAAAACTAACTGCTGCTTCGTGGCAGCCTATCCAAATCCCTAAGTCTGTATCAGGAGAAAATATAGGCGCAAACTCATGCGCTGTGGAAACCCAGGTAAATGAGAGATGAGAGTAAAGAAAATCAATTTAGTATAATAGCATCGGCTAAATTAACCACCAAACTTATAAAAGCCTGGGAGAGGCTAATCCTGCAAGGTATGTTTGACTTAATAGAGGTGTAAAGATACACCTAAAATAGTAAATGGGTAACAAAGCAGGTTAGTCTAAATCCATTCTAGGAAAGGACCCAGCTGGGTAACTGGATAGAAAAAGGATAGTCTTAGAGCAGTGTCTAAGAGAATCTGGAAAGGGCAGGGTTAATAGCAACTAATGGGGTGCACCCAAACTAATATCAAGTAGCTTATATTAAACAGAAAAGGAGCTAATACCCCACAAAGAGAGGAAAGATAGAACCCCCCCCCCTCCTCTGAGTCACCCTAAAAAACTAACTATCCTAAAAGAAACGGCAAAACTAACTGCTGCTTCATGGCAGCCTATCCAAATCCCTAAGTCTGTATCAGAAGAAAATATAGGCGCAGACACATGCGCTGTGGAAACCCAGGTAAATGAAAGATGAGAGTAAAGAAAATCAATTGAGTATAATAGCATTGGCTAGAAAATATCTCGGAAATCATTGGAAAGCAGGCATGAAAGGAAAGAAGGAGGGATGGGGCATGGATATCAGAGGCTGGAACCCAGGAGAGCGTTACCCTTTCCAGTGCACCAAGTATTGGATCTGTCATCTGAACGAGGGAGTCAGTTTGTGTCCAGATTTTGGCGTAACTTCTGTTCGGAACTGGGCATTCAACTTGTGTTCCCCTCTGCCAACCATCCACAATCTAACGGTGCTTCTGAACGTACCAATTAATCGATGGAACAGTTCTTACGTTGCTTCGTGTCTCAAGGTCAGGACAATTGGTCGCAATTGCTCCCATGGGCTGAGTTCGCTAGGAACAATACTGATCACAAGTCGTCTGGTCATTCTCCATTTTTTTGTCACTTACGGTTATCATCCCACCATCATTCCTGCTGTGTTCTCTGGTGTGGGTATGCCTGTTCTTGACCAGCATCTTTCTAATCTGTCTTCTATGTGGGAGAGGGTCAATTCCATTCTGTCCAAGACTTCCGCGTCCCAGAAATACCATGCGGACAAGTGTCAGAGGGCTGTTCCTACTTATCACGTTGGAGACCGGGTCTGGTTGTCCACTAGGAATGTTCGCCTCCGTGTCACCTCCATGACATTGGCTCCTCGTTTCATTGGTCCCTTAAAGGTCCTTCGCAAGATTAATCCTGTCTCCTATGTTCTTGCTTTGCCTTCCAATCTTCGTATCTCTAATGTCTTTCACACCTCCCTTTTTAAAGCCTCTGGTCTGCAATAATTATTACTCTAAGCCTCGTTCTCCTCCATCTCTAGTCCAGGGGCAAGAGGAGTACGAGGTGCAACATGTTCTTGATTCCCGCTTTTCTAGGGGTTGTTTACAGTACATAGTCTATTGGAAGGGTTTTTGTCCTGAGGAACGTTTCTGGGTGGGTGTTTCTGATCTCCATGCTCCTCGTTTGGTTCGTTGTTTCCATTCTGCCCACCCTGATCGGCCTGGTTGTTCCCACCCTTTTGGCGGAGTTAGAGGAGGGGGTACTGTCATACAGTATGCCGCGCAGCACATACGGCTTCCAAGGGTGGCCATGCAGCAGCCACAAAGTCTCCGGTTCCACGCCGTCCAGGCCTTAGTAAACACCATGCAGTGTTTGGTTGCTCCATGTGCAGAGCAGCCCCTGCATGATCTGTCTTCTGGCAAAGCTTCCTGATCTTTCTGGCAGACTTGCGCCACCTACAGGAGTCCTTGGAAATTACAGGACCCTGTAAGTGCAGGCTTTTTATAGCATTAAATTGACAGGGGACACGCCACCTGCCCTTCACTGGTCACACCCCTTTGTGTGATTTGGTGCAGGGTGATGATGCTGTCTAATAAGATTTTTGTTCTCCCTATTTAAACTTCCCTCTTTCTGGAGATCATTGTCCAGTCATGGTTTATTCCTGCTTTCTGTGAAGTAGTTTTGGTTTTCTCGTTACTGACCCGGCTTTGTATTTGACTTTTCAGATTTTCTGGTTCACTGACTTTGGCTTGTTATTTCATATTTGAGTATTTCTGGTATCCTTGACCTTGGCTTCCTATTATGACTCTGTATTTTTCGCCTATCTAGGGCACACGTTAACCTGGCCATTCTAAGGTCCGGTATACGTACCTTCTCTCTTTTTATTTATTTATTCATTCTGGTTACTGTTTCCCTATACTCTGTGTGTGGGTTAACCAATCTTGACAGCGCTGCATTGGCGGCGCCCTAAGTTAGCCAAACAGTCATCTTCTGGGCCCCTTGTGACAGGGCTCCTCTTGCAAACTCAGCTGTGAGGTTATCCCAGTCACTTCTGCAATCTCCACTCACCCTTATTGCCTCGGGTAGTGGAATGCTATCAGCAGCTGCCATGATGTTGATTTTCTAGCTCCCAATGCTCAGCTTCCATGACAGGACTGTCTTTGCTACATGAAGGCACACGTAGGTCTAAAGTTTCCCAATGTAAGACTTGCAAGCTCCTAGTATCAAATGTGTAGAAACAGATCAGGTTCAGATACTTCTGTGCTGTAAATAATGACAGTGCAAGCTATTAGTGAACAGAAGCCATGATAAGATAAGAACAGGAAATGATAGCAATAGAAAAATGAACCAGAGAGTTGCATGTAAACCAAACATAACATCCATAACAGTAAGTGGTATCCAGGGAAGCAAAGAAAGTCAGAGCCAGGTCCAGAAACATAAACAGGGTTATAATAAAAATGAACCTAATGCAAAGATACCATGGTTCACTCTTTAGATTGGGAGGTCTTTCCCTAGATGAACTCTGCTCCTTGGAAATACATTTGCACATAAAGGCAGCATCTGTGCTTCCTACAGGTAATATACAAAACAATTCATGTAACTCAGGAAAGTAAGAAATAACCCAGCAACTTTCTGGAATCTTTTTCATAAAATAGGTTACATAGTGGCATAATGATAATAATTTGCTGACAGCGACAGAAAATGGGACATTAATGTCCCAGTTGAGCCAACCTGAGCACTGTATCCCATTGACTTATTTCTGTTCATGAAGTTTGGTTCCTGATAGTTTTATTCTCACACTGCCAGTCTCAGCAGTGATGAAAGCATAATCCTATTAATTTTGTTTATCTGAAATGTATATTTGTAGCTATTATCCACATAATGGGCCTGGGTTTTTTTCTGTAACTTTTCTAGAAATGGAGATGGTCTTTGCCAAGGCTCTCGGTGGTCTGAAAATGAGAATCAAGAAAAGTGGGTTGGTAACAGAGAGTGTTAGAGGGTTCACATTGAGGGGTTTCAAATGGTAGTGCGCAGACTGATGACTCTTAGTCAGTAGGATAATTAGGTCAAGGTGAGTTGGGCTTGGTGGCTATGTGTGAATATGAGAAGGTGAAGGACCATTGATGAGAAGGTGAAGGACCATTGTCTTTTACATTTTGTAGAGACACTCAAAGAAAAGTGGCTCCTCTTCATTCACAATGTAACTCTTCCACATTTGCATATGATGAGGGGTTCAGACTCAGCATTGGCAACTCTTATAGAGTACAGTCTGTGGTTTTTGCTCTGTGGAACAGGTTTGACTGTAGTGGTTGTATTGCTTTTAGTGCTCCTTTATTTGCTGCTTTGTCTTGAAATGAAATAAAGACAATTTCCCCCTAATATTAGCTGCGAGTTACTTATTAGATGTTATATTTGATGGATCATGAGTGTCCAAACCAGGTCTGGACTGGCCATTCGGCAAACCAGGCAAAGTGCCAATGCCATCCAAGCGCCCGCCTTGCTGTGTATGAATGGAAAATATCTCCTTTATCTGCCCAAAGCACCC